TTTTTTTTTTCCAATGCAATCAGTAATTTTATAGCCCAACTACGAAAATTAGGGATGGCAACGGGATGGAACACCCTTGCCCCGACTTAGATGGAGTGGGGTGGCCGATTAGAAATGGACATTGATTTTGAAACGGTTGAAAGGATTGGTTGAAAATAGATCACTGTAATATTGAGAAATTATGAAATTTTTGGATGTACAAAACCAAGAGGCTATATAGCTCCCTTTGAAACCAAAAAGGAATCCACACACACAGAGTTAAAGTCCTTTTTGTCCCTAAAAGAATAATCGAATGGCCAAACAATTAAGGCAAACGGAGATTTTGAGTTTCAACATCCACAAGGCCTTTACAAGAGAGAAAAAACGCAAATCTTTCCTGAATGTGACATTGATCTATACATTTTTTTTTGTCATAAATTTTCAATCTAGTAAACTTATAAATGAATATAAGACAAATAATAAATATAAAGCATCAATTGAAACAGCATTTACTGCAGTAATGCTGACTCTAATGACAATGGCATCTTGCAATAACCATAATTCAATAATATCAATATTATGTACAAGTTACTAACTTATTGCTTGAAAAAACTAAATTTTATTTTACAAATGAGAAAGTGGATTCTAAGTGTGACTGAATTGCACAAATTGTAGATAGACTGCGGTTCAGATGATTATGAAAAGAAGTGCACAGTGATACGGTTGATGCACGCTAATAGCCATCAAACAAGACTGAAATAACTAGGACTGCTCCATATTCCCACTTTAATTGAGTTTTAATTTCTCCAATTATCCTTTCTCGTACAAGTGACTTCCAAATCTAAGAGAATAACCATATCTACAAAACTGTATGTCATGGAACTGGAAATTTTCCACACTAATGCGACATTAGAACAAGAAAACTGGGACCTCTGATTATATATTACTATGCAATGAAAGTAACTAAAGTTTCTAATTCTACATTTGGAGGCATGGGATTAGGGCCATCAAATCGAGAAACTGGTTGAATTGGTTAAATTATGAGGCCTCAATCCCATTGCCCTAAATTTACATTTGTTCTGTGAGAAAGATAGCAAGATAATACATTGTTCGCTGCAAATAAATTGTGAAAATGAGGGTGCTTCAAGGCTGGCTGATCAGAGGTCGTGAGTTCGATTCCTGGAAGGCTCTTGAAAGGCAGATATTCTCCTAGAATGCAGGATTTACCCTGGAAGGCAAAGTGCAAAGATGGGAAAATACGACTTGCTTGACACTTTGGCAGATCAGTTGGGGGGGCTCTTGAGCACTGGTCAGTTTGGGGCACAACCAGCTATTTAACTTGTCTGCAGTTTGAGGGGCCAAGGTGTAGACTCCAAAATTTAGTTACTGTAAGGTGGATACCTGAATATCAAAAAAAAAAAAAATTTCAACAACAATTTTCTTTCACACCTCATTCCATTTGGGGAAAAAAATAATATTAATAAATAAATAAAGTACCTTTTTTTTGAAATTATCATTTCCAGTGCATGTAGTTTACCATTTTTCCATTATCTTCCTTCAACAAAAAAAAATATTATTACTTGTTTGCAAAACAGGACATTGATTTTGGAATCTCATACAGTCCCTTAAAACAAATTATTAGTATTTTTGTTTGTCACTGAAAAACATCAAAATTTTCTTTCCTAGCATGTTATTTGGTTAATTATGAAATATTTGCAGCAAAACAAATCTACCAATATGATGTTGAAGAGTAATAATTATGAATACGAATTTTCTATCAATTTTCCTCCAGGAAATTTCCATCAAAAGTCAACCAAAATTTGAAACATTAAATCAAAAATCAAAAATCAAATAGAATTTGTTTGGGAGTGATTTTGAAAATTGATTTTTTGACTGTTAGGAGAAAAGTGGGGTTCACCTGTGAGAAAAGAAGTCAAATATGACGGCTGAAATAGTGAAATAACGGTCAAAAAATCAATTTTTTGGGTGAAAAAATCGGGCCCAAACAGGCCCATAAACTCTTCGATAGAAGAGAAAACTTCAAAATTCAAACGAAATAATCATCTGATAGAAACCCAGTACAATTAACTCATTATAACTCATAATTAACAACACTCACCTGTCGATTAGGAGTTGTAGGATCATGCCTCGCCCAGAAAATATCAAGCAGTCTCATAACTACACTCCATAGGATCATACTGGACGCGACCCACCTCCTATCGTGGTACCGGAACAAACATCCTGGTACGTGGGATTGTGCAATTACCCCTGGAAGTATCCCACTTCAGTCTTGGTCACACCAGGCACTCTCAGTTAAAATAATAATGATCATATTTAAATATAATTACTCAAAATTAATGGGACAATTATTGATTAGGGAAAAAAAAATCATAGTTGGCCCCATTTGGCCCCCATTGATTTAATTTTTATTTTTTTCTCTTATTTTCAACCACATAATTTTCTATAAAATAATATTATACGTAAATTGAAAACTTAGTGTTCTACCCATTAAAATTTGAATGAGCTTAGTATGAATTGAATTTTCTTAAACAACAAACCAATTATTATTGTGTATTTATAAATATGACTTATTTTCCAAACATTTTGGGAAAAAATATCTTAAAGATAAATATCAGAAATATAATTTTAAAATTAACTAACTTTTAAAACAAATTAAAAAATCAAAATGGACACGTTTGTGATATCTGATATATATTGTGACCTATGACTCAAATTAAACATGATACAATCATCCGGGAAAATTTCATAACTAAAAACATTAGAAATATAATTTTAAAATTAACTAAGTTGTAAAAGAAACTAAAAAATCAAAATGGTCACGCCTGTGCTATCTTATAAATACAGTAACCTATTATTCAAATTAAACATGTTACTGTCACGTGTCATTTAATTTTTGGTTCAAAATCATATATTAGATCATAAACCACACAAAATCATAATCACATATCACAAAATTTATAAATCATAATCACACACAAAAATTACAAATTATACAATTTGATAGAATCCCGAAAGTGTACGAAATCATCAACAAGTAATAAGTAGTGAGTTGAGTGTATCGTCCCACGAGGAATAACATTCCATTTTAATGTACTAGTTACCATCAAATTCGATCTATTGTAGCATAAAAGAGATTTATTTGTTGTTGTTATTTTAATTAAACTACAGAAGCAATACAAAATTTGATCCTTATCAAATAATGAGATGAATGTATTGAATTTCCAACTCCACGTATTAATATTTAGTTTTAATTCTCAACTTATGTTAATTAGTGTGATTAATGTGTTTGTGACAATCGATAATCAATTAATATTCTTTTCCAAGATATACCAAACATATGCTTAACAGATCTGACTCAATCTTATTCCTAGTCCGAATTTATATGCAAAGCACGCTGACGCAATAAATATTAATCCTAGTATCTATTGTCCATATGTGAAATATGTAACATTCTACTTGGTTTGAGTTTTTCAACATTACAAATAAGCAACTTAATTGTCTAATTAGTGTGCAAATATTCAAACAAACATAAGAAATGAACATTAAATCACAAACGCGAGAATTAATTGAAAAACAATTAGTCTTGAATTGAAAACTATAAATCAATTGGTTTTATCATTCATCCTATACATAAAAGATTTAGCCTAACATTGCCATATGAAATTTATAAAGAAGAATAAGAAAAGATATCACCCGAGTCAAGGAATACAATGAAGAACTTGAAAACTCCAAATCTTCAATTTAATCTTTGACCCAAACGATGAATTCTTACTTATAATGCTTCTTGCACGCTCAAAACAATGATAAAAAACATCCTCCACATTTTGGACACCTATGGCATATATAGAGTTTCAAAATATTGCATACTAAAACTAAATAAGGAAAGAGTTTTTTTCCCCCCAGAATTAGACCTAGGTGTGCGCCTACCCTTTTAGGCTATCCCAGGAGAGGCCTTTTTGGTCTGAGGCTCGCGCCTCGCCTTCAGGTAAAGGCGCACTCCTTATGTTCTTTGTAACTTGGCCCTCAAACTTTCTTCAAGGTATATTTTCGCCCTTTTTCACTTCTTTTGGTCACTTTCACTTACTTTGTCCAATTAAGTCTTTGCACTTTTGAATCTTTGTTCTTTGTTCCAAGCCAACTTCTGATTATTTGTGTTTTAATCCCTGATCTTTAGATATGATTCACTTTAGCCATTTTCTTACTCATTTTTCCAATTCCAACAATGTCATCGATGTTGCCTATAAAAATCAATATTTACACAGAATTAAGTCATGTTTCATATAATTCTTTAACAAATAGTCTAATTTAGCGACTCAAATAAGTATATAAAATACACTTATCAAATACCCTAAATTTGAACTTTTGTTTTTCCTCAAACAAACTATAACCTAAATCAATCTAAACTTGATTAGATAGCATGCCATTAGTCTCAGGATTGAACTTTTGCATCAATACTATGAATAGTTTCAAAATCATATAGTTTAAAATAACGAACTTATTCAATGCGAAACTCGACACATCTGTGTGAGAGAGAGAGAGAGAGAGAACTCATGCAAAACATCACAAGCTCATGATTGATTCAATTCTTGACCTTCGATAGTCAAATGTCTGCTTTCTCCATTCGTGAGATACGTACCCTAAACTTATACTTTTTTACTCACTTTCATCGATGTGCATTCTCAAGTTGAAGTTTAAATCATTCTAATCCTTACCCTCTTTATTTTATATATATCTTACCAATATAAGTTAACATTTCAACAAATAAGGATTCTCCTATATTTTTTATCACTTTGACCTCTAATAATCAACTAAGCTAACAACTCTTTGTCAAAAGTCCAATTTTCTAATAGAATTGTTTGGAGCTTAATCTTGGCATATGACGTCTTTTCTGTAACTTCTTTTTTTGCTTTTTTCATTTTCTACAAACTTATTTCCATTAAGTGACTAAGTGACACAAATCAAATGACTACGGGGTATAGGTTTTAAAGACCTTGCAGGCTCGATTATTCGAGTCAAAAAGATTTCGAAGAAAAGTTTCAAAAATTAAGCAATTTTATTTTATTTGCCAAGATTAGTGCCACTCCCCTCATTCAGCACTCATCCTCGAAAATCAAGTTCTAACTTAAAACTCTCGCTTAATATCATCTCATTAGCTTTAAACAACCCACATAACAAATTCACACATGGAATCCCTATTTATTTCAATGTTCCCCTATACTAGTTCAACCATCTTCCAACTATCCTATAGTTGGAGTAGGGAAATATGTAATCATGTTTTTTCGAGATGTAATCAACTATGATCAACATTTTCCTTATATGAACCAAATCATTCACTCAAGATATCAAACATAAGTATTGTGCGCAATGTAGATCAAGTTTCACATAAATAAGTTTCTATCAACTCAACTAAGAATTTTTACACCAATTCTTAGTTTAATACGTTTTCCCAATATACACATCATTATCGACAAGGTCATCTAACTCACGCAAATACTCAAATAAATAAAAAGCATAAAAGAACATATTCTTTATATTTTTTTCTGATTTTCTACATCTTCTTAACACTCAACAAGCACACGAAAGTAGTTAATTCTGTACAATAATCGATGATTAAACAACCACCCTCCAAAACTTAACATGCGCATTGCCTTCAATATACAAAAATATGAGGGCAAAATGCAAAAAGAAAGGCAAAAAAGGGGGAAAAAAGACTTCCCTCATCAATCTAAGGGTGGCGGTGG